CACAGAAATAATCATGTATCTATATTATGAAGTCTTTGGGAAATGTCTTTAGTTTTAAATTTCAGTGATACCTTAGGATGTGATATGCAAATTTTAAGTTACTTTGTTCACACATGGTAACTATCAAAGGGGAAAGAGAAATATCTGTTAAATTAGATTCTACACATAACCAACCATAAGCACAAAGGCTCAGTTATTTTTTAAATAGTTCATATTTTATACATATAAGCCAGCTCAAAGCTAAATCACAAAATGCTTTGTTATATCAAGTATGCAGAGATGACATAATAAACATTACTTCAGCTCAGGAATTTGAATTAAGTGAAAGCAAACAGAAAGTATCCATTTGGGGGCTCTCACATAATGCTGAAACTGAAAGGATGTAAAACCCCCTACCCTATTCAAATTTTCCCTGAAGCTTCTTTAGGTCTACTATTCCTATCCCCTCTCCAACACACTATGAATAAGAGGATCAATATATTTAAAGATTTAATGCACTTGACTTAGTTTCTTCTCTTTAAGAGTAATTAGGGAGTTTGTGGGAAGAGACTGAAGAAGAGAAGAGTGAGGAAGTAATGGTTAACTCAGGGGAAAAAATTAATTTCACCCAAAAGAGAAGTGGTTCCTTTTTACTTTCAGGAAGTTATGTCAAATTTTATTAATATTTTAAGGTAATGTTATGTTACTAGCTCCTACTTTAAAATATATTAATTTACATAAACGTGTGATGTCAGGCCAACTTCTATCTTCAGTTGTTATGCATACATACCCCTACAATTCCTATGAAAAGCCTTATTTAAAATAGAAAAGTACCTGACCAATATATGTCAGGAAATCTGAAAATATTCCCTCAGAAACTTTTCAGTTGTCTCTTCAATGTCATGACCTAAGTTTATGGGACTGACGAATACATGTTGTGGATCATTTCTGCAAATGTTATGGTTGATTCTTATAAACCCCTTTTCTAAAATGTTGTTTTTTCCCCTCATATACACGTGCAATGATAGGAATCAGGACAATTCTAGAAGTGATTATGACAGTCTGTTTGGCTTGCCTAAGAACTGTCAGTCTAACCACTGAGTATCAGTTAAGAAATGACCCGTGATTAAAATAAAAGCAGCCAATAATGGTGAACCATTAGAATACAACCATTTCACCACCAATTAATGTGTCAACAAAAAGGCACATTTTGCTGAAAGGAAAAAAGCAAGACTCAGCTATTTCTTTATCGGCAGGTCTGACATGTTCATGTTCATGGCCCTTCGTTAATAGGGCCTATAAAAATGCTGACTTTTTTTTTAAACGATTCAATTGACTAATATAAGGTAAAGAGTTAGTTCTTGTTGACATCTCCTTTTCCTTTTAGGAGAAAGGATATTTTTTTCAGAAAGTTAAAGGAAAAGGAAACTAAGTGGCGCATGAGCTTTTTTCCTTTCTAAACTTAAAAACTCACCAAAGGAAAAGTTTTTCCCTCCATGCAGTATTCCAGTAACGAGCATTACAGATTTTTTAAATATCTTTACTATATTGCTGGATGTTTTAAAAGTCAGGCATTCTGAACAATCCTCATATGTAACTATGTTCAAATCCTTTTGAGTATTACTTACTCTTCAGGATTCATTTAAATGAATTTTTAGTTTTAAAAAAATTAATAACAGAATAAAAAAATTATCTTAAAACATTACTTTTTCATTCCACCATAATCTGTAAGGCACACATACAATTTTTTCTGTTCAATGAAAGTTATTTATTCAAAACCTAAACACCACTACTTTCATTTTTTAAGTACTTCTCATACCTTCAAAGAGCTCTCCTACCTATGATTTAATCTGAGTCTCATAACAGTCCTTTGAGGCAGGTAGAGTCAAGTATTATGCCTACTTGACAGATTAGGAAAATGAAAGATATAATATTAAATACTTTTCAGTGCTACAAATAAACACAAAACGGTAAAGGTAAATTTTCTAGAAAGTTAAAAATTAATGTTCACTATCTGTTGGATAACTATCCAAAGGCCTAAGAAAAATTAGTGTAGCATCTATTTGCATGTTTGTGAATATATAAGAATAAATAAATAGAAGGCTAGGAAAGACATTTATTTCCATAAACAGAAATCCCTTGTCCCTCTGGATGCTACCTTTGGGCTATCTCACTACATACTTCTGTAAAAACAAGAGGAGAATAAGAAAGAAACATGGTAACTCGGTTATATCCATTTTTCAACCAAAAGAGCTTCTGGCATTTTCACAACTTACTACTCAAAAAAAAAAAAAGGCTCCTGAGTCTAAAGAGCAGACACCTTAAAGAATTTAGTTTTATTGAAGTAAACCTTTAAAAGCTATTATTTATCCATCTTTCTAAATCAACAGGCTTCGGTTAATAAAAGATGATTTTTTTAAACTAATAATAACACCACACATTTAAACTGTTCTTTAAAGTTTTCAAAATGTTTTCTTCATGACAACCTTGTGAGGCAGATAATATCAGTTTCATCATTAGAATTTTACAAACTGAAGTTCAGAGAGAAGAAATCACCTGCCCACAGTCACATGGCCAAGAAGTTCTGAGATGTGACTGAAAGCCAAGTCTTTTGGCAGTAAGTCCAATGCTAAGAAAATAGGGTCTACACTTCATTTTCATTATCAAAAATATTTTCTCGAAAGTGAGCTGAAAGCCAGAGGAAAAAAATGGCAGCAATGTACCATAAATGGGTCTAGTGTGTGTCTCTTGTCTCTCTCCTTCCCATCCTCCCTCTTTTTCACCCCTCTCCTTCTTTCTCCCCCTCCTACTCTCTTCCATTGACCAAAGGAACCAAAAAACTCTAAGGTACTAAATACACAGCTATTGGAATCAATATACAAGGATTATTTCTTAGTCACACCAGTGCCATGAAAGCACAGGGGAAGTATTATGTGGGAAGAACATGCTAGGGAAGTTACTGAGTTCCTTTTAAACTGAAATCATAAAAATTACTTTAATCATTAAAGATCTGACCACTTCAATTTCACAGGTAGAATAAATATCAAGTCTATGTGGTAAGTGAATTTAAATTTCCTGATGGTTAAACTGGCAGACTATTAAATTATTTGATGCTTGATAGTTTGTTATCTTTTAGAAAATAATCAGGCATTTTATGGATACCTGTCATATTGTTTTGATCAGTTCTGCACATCACAAGTGAGTCGCTTTACTCATTCTTCTAAATCAATCCTGTTCTACTCTACAGAAGAAAATTACTCCATAAAGTTTAAATCAGATATCTGCAAAAGTCACATTTATAGTCATGGCTACTATCAGCTGTCAAGCCAAAGAATATTGAAGAAAAACAAGAATTTTTAATATATTCTAGTTAATTTATCATCTAAGTGACACGTGTAGGATAACAAAATTAAAATGGTAAAATGGTTAAGTAAAATTCTACATTTAAAAAGTAACTGTTTTTCCTGTTTGGTTTTAAATCAAAACTGAACTGATTTTTTTTATTTTTAAAGGAGCAGGCCCAGCGTTCAAATGAATGAGACGCAGAAAGATATGAATGGTTGGATAAAGTCAATGTGAAGATCAAATGATCAACCACTCAGCAAAAATGCTTATTTCTCTCCATTTCAAAGAATTATTTAAAACATAAAAATATGGGTGGACACTGCCATCTTGGGACTTTTCTAAATAAACAGACTTATTCATTTATCTCAACACAAAATACCTTTGTGATAAAATGTACTGCAGTATTTTCCAAGATGTTACTCTTTAGCTAAAATATCCATTCTTTTTAAATATGACAAGTGGAAAGTATAATGTTACACTACTCAAAAAATTTCTGATGTCAGGTATAAGCCAATGTAGATTATAAGAGCAATAAAAACAAAGTTATAAAAGTCTCAATAGAAGCACATGTGGACTTTGTAAAGATTCTCTATATTACAACTGAAATCTTGTTAGTTAAGATGATACAATATAAAGCACTGACTTTAAATGAGGATACATAAACAGCCAATTGAGAAATTCTACTCATTCAAAAAATTACACACACAAAAGAAATACATTAATTAGCATATCATCACATAAAACAATAAAAACTTATTTAAAGGTATACTTTGAGTTCTTAAAAGAATGTAATATATTTTTAATTAAAGAATTACTACATAACTTTTCCTACTCAATACATGTATGCCCAATACCTTTTTACTTTTCATTTTCTAAAGAGTACTTCCTTCCATCTTAACTTTCTCATATTTTCATATTAGTTTGCTAGTTATCTTCACTTTTTGAAAATATTTTTCCTTGATCATTTTAAATTACTTAATCCAAATAAATGGGGCCGAACCTAAAAATAAAATACTGTAATTTGTATTGACCTATATTATGAAACTCATTCCTCCCTAAAAAGTTTTTTGTAAAAGTACACAATTTCCAAGTACACCATTACTTTTTTCAAAAGTACAGTCTGAGGATTACACAACCAGGGATCTTGTCCAATATAATTCTGATAGGCATCAATCTGTAAGCAATGTGTACATAAGGAACAATTACAAATGAATAAAGTTTCTTCAAGATATTTCAAGCTGGATTAAAGACAGAATGAACAGGAAGATGCCTAAAGATGTCTAAACTACTATCCACACACTTTAATCTTTGTAAATATTACTATTTAAAAAAATGAATACACTGTGTACTCTCCCTTCATTACTGTCATCTACCAATCTAGACAGAAAAGCTGTGCTTTAAAAATAGGATGGTCTTAAATAGGTAGTAAAAAAGATCATGAAGGTCGAAATTTAAGATGACAAACATCTGCTAAATAAAAAATATTAAAATTTAAAATTCTACTTAATACAACTGTACCAATAAGGCAGTATTATAAAACTATATCAAATCATATTGGAAATTTTTAAATATATAGTGCTAGAGTATTTGAAAAGAAAAAAACTCATCCCAACTTAAAATGAAGTAAATCTTCAAGAGAAATTTAACACCTCCTTTTAAAATAAATATTTATTTACCTGAACAGCAAGAGAAGAAGCATTATCAGAAAGCAAAATTTGTTCCCCTGTAGGAAGAAAATGAAAGGATATCCATTCAAAAATGTGGCTTCTAAACTGATAAAATACAGTCATTTTTTATAAAAATTAATTTTAACCTTCTTTTGTAAGAAAAAAAATTACACACCAATGTCATCGTATAATTACAGCAGTGCTATTATATGATGATGGTTTTCGGTTATATTACCTGTGTATGAATATAAAATGTAACAAGATCTTTCCTTCAGAATTGCTTTATCATTTATCTCATCTTATCAGATATATATGTACATAATATATATGTAATTAAAAATCCCTCCTTCAAAATAATGTTTGTTTTAAATTTTCTAGGATAATTCCTTTGTACTCAATCAAAATTAAGTAAAATAGCATCTGCTCACAATTCCTCTAGTTAAAAGTAAAAGCATTCAGAATCCTATAAAACCAGCTTGCAGTTAATATTGCACAGTGTGTCTAGGTCTGTCACACAAAAGAAAGATGACAAGTTCGCTGCAATAAAAATTCCATGCTTAGAAGACTAGGGCCGCTGCCTATTAGTCTTCATTACTTTGCAGTCTTCTGACAACTGTAGCAGGCTGCTGAGCCCCAAATGGGGTCCATAATGTGATCTGATGATATATGAAGAGCTGCTAAAGGGAGCCTGAACCATCCTAGCCTATACATTTTAACAGTTCCTTTTTACTGAGAGCCCACTTTACCACAAGACTTCAAAAATCTGCTGCCTCAGCTATTGGTGCAGTAAATCTGCCAACGGTGCCTGCAACCACATCATTTTACACTGCCTACAGCAGCCAATATAATGAGTCAATAATAAACCAAGGACCTTATAGGCCATGAATACTTGGTTTATATTGGCAAATGCAAGTTGAGCTAAAAGTTACTCTTAGGACATATAGAAGGGAGTCCCTCTCTTAATGTTCTGTTTCTCTTTGCTGTTAATCATACTGAATGAGGTTTCTTTTAAACGTATTTTAACAGGAATTCATTACAAATTGCAGAAATAACACACCCACCTTTCAGCTGCTGATAAAGTGTAGCATCTTCAGGCCAAGGTTCTGTAGCTGTAGAAGAAAAAAGTTGGAATTACACACACAGGGGAAAAATAGATCCCAAACCAAATTAACAAACGGGTATTTGCCTATAAGAGTTACAGGCAGTTGTCAAGGTTACTTTAAATATGGCAGACTTTCATTACACATTGCATTCCAGGTGATAAGGTAGGATGCATAAGAATGTAAGATGGGATGAATGCAGGAAAAGAAAGGTTTTATCTTATCCTCAAAAATTAATGTAAAATTTTATAAGGTCTACATAAATACTATCATACTCATAAAACCACTGTTACTCCTTTCAAACATAATCAGATCCACATGAGAGGTACAAATGCATCTTATCACGTTACATATTTTTCCCCATTGTCCCTAGCCAGTATTATAATGAAATAAAGAAGAGACCTTTTAAAATATTCCAGAACATTCCATTGCCCTCCCAGCTCACGAAAACAAGCTAAGACAAGCAGAGCAGTATGAAGAAGCAACATGTAATCACAAAGTAAAACACAGTAAAATATACTTTTAAGCCTGAATTTAACCTTAGCCTTATACCTTTAATCTCTTTTCTGATAACTTGCTGTAGCCAAATTATAACAGCATTAAAATCAAACTGAATCCAGAAAACTGGGCACATCCACATGATGATGCAGTGAAGCAGATAATATTATAAATTATTTGTTGATGTTGCTGATAAGACACTAACAGATTTTTTAAAATTCTCATTTTTAATTATAACAACTATAGCGAAAACAACCACTATTAGCAAAAGAGATGTTAAATGACCATTTTCTAAGGCTATAATACTTCAAATAAATATTAACGAGCAATTCCTTATTATTCGTGTACTAGTCTTGACAACATATCACCAAATTCTGATTTTGGTTATTCAATTCTGATTGATTTGTCTTGGGAAATATTATGTCCATAGGAGTCATTCATAAAAGCACTGAAGTAAAAGAACAGTTACTATAAATATATTTTGGGTCACATTTAGATAATAAGTACACTATTTGGGCTAATAACCTATGCACATAAGTAGGAGAAGCAGCATGGTGGTATGGACAGAGATCTGGCTTCAGTTCTTCAGGAGCTCAGGAGCTTCAGTCCAGTATCTGTCCTGTGCTGGCTCTGTGATCCCTGTGACCTCGGGCAGTCACTTTGCTTCTCCCTCAGTGCTCCCTGTCACTCTCTAAGACTGAATTGAAGAGCAAGTGCCCACCTGCTTTAGAAGGAATTTTTTCACTGAGAATTTCCTGTACTAGTGAAATCAACAGGTTCAGACCCTACCCCACCTCCAAAAAAAAACATGCCTTTGCCCTGGCCAATCTCCACACCTGAGATGCTCTCCCACCTCATCTCCAACATCTCAGAATTCCTGGACTTCCTCAATCCTCAACTCAAGTGCCACCTGCTCCAGAAAGCCTGTCTTGGTCCTCCCCTCATCCCACCTACCCAGCTGCTTGTGCCTTCCCTCCATGGTTATTCTGTGCCTGCTTTGTGTGTTTCTTCTATACACCTATTTTACGTATGTGCTGAAACCTATCAGAATGTTCTCTGAAGACATAGGCTTATTTCAACTTATGTCTTTATGGCCCTAGTGTTCCACATTTTGCCTAGAACACAGGAGGTGCTTAATAAATGCTTGCTGATTGATTCAATTCAACTAATACACATTAATCATCTATTCTGTACAAGGCAGATGCCAGGTGATAGAGTCCCTCCAAAAAAAAATAAAAGCTCCATTCTCAAGCAATTTTTATCTTGTGGGAGAGACATACAACATGTCCTTGTCTGAGGACTGCGTCAAAATTATTCAAGGTGGGAGGAGAAAGAACAGGGGCCTTCCCCTTCAAAGATAGGAGAAATGACAAACTGGGAGCACACGACAGCTAATGCACATATGTAGTCTTATGCAAGGCTGAGCCTGATCTTAGGACTCCTGCATACCTGCTTCTGCTTTCTTTCTTTCTTGATTAGTGCTGTCCAAACATGACGGCTGAAACAGATGTGTCCACTGTGAGAGGCAATCTTGTGAGTATGAGCGATCAGAAGTCCTCAGTCCCTCCCTCACTGAAGCTGCCTGGTGGCAAGGGGAGCATCTGCATCAGATAGTATAGCCACTGAAAGCCTGACTTGGCAGAAGACATGGACCTGGAGCATGTTATTTGGATGGTGTGGCACTGAAGTGGTGGTTGTTGATTGTGCTAGGCATATAAAATGCCTATTTAGCAGTCCCACAGATAGATTCATATTCTGAAGTTTAAATCTCCTGGGAACAGATACTGTTTCTGTTTTAAGTCTCTGTCAACTGGGTGCCTATGAGAGAACCTGAGTGTTTAGCACTTCTCTTGCATAGAGGAAATAAACAGATGACTTATACCGGATTCCTATTGTACATTATTACCTTTCTATTTCCCTTTTTGGGGGAGACATTAGACATAAGCCCAAATTTAATTTTCCCAAAGGCCCCAGAGTTGGGGGGTGATGATGGGGTATAAAAAAACCAAAGAGTGGAAAAAAGAGCCTCACTTCTCTTATCAGGCCAAGCAACCCCTGGACTGAACCCAGGATGCACCTGTGTGGGTACAGAACACATGTCCCTTAGTAAAGAGGGAGAGGATGCAGTGCTCAGCAGTGGCTACAGGTATCAAGGGACAGAGTAATTTTTGGATTACATTTATAAAAGCACTTTACCACCAACGAGGCCTTTGGGAACATTACTTAAAGCTTAGCTTTGGTTTAGGTCTATGGTCCTGGGCTTTGAGTCAGAATCCCAGCTCCATAAAAATTCCAGCTGTGTGACCAAGCACAAGTCATTTAACTCTGCTGAAACTCAGTCTTGTTATTTGTCAAATGCATGCTGGTTACTTCACAGGGTTGTATTTTTGCCTTGTTGTTGTTTTTACAAATCTGGACCTGTGATTTCATTGGTACAAGGAGCTGCCAGTGAGGAAATTCCTTTTACCAATGTAGTTCACTACCTTGTACAAGCTCAAGTCTCAGACAGTTGCATGGGACACTAAACGTTTAAGTGGTGATTTGCACAGAGTCACATATTTAACAGGAGTCAGAGGCAGAACCTGAATCCAGATAGTTATAATTCCAGGGCTGTCCTATGAATCCCACCAAGCTGATCTCAATAAGATAATATGTATTAAAATACTCTATTTGTAGTAAAATGCTTTATATAAATGAAATCTTTTATCATCAAAAAAATAAGTATAATGGCACTGAAAGAATACACAAGGTAAACTGAGAAGAGAGAGCTAATAACCAGTAGACCAATTTTGCTAAGTTGGAGGCCTCTGACCTTAGCCCTGAAGGCCAGGGCTGGGGGATGGCTTGGGGGATGGCTTCACAAAGGCAGTAAACTTCAGGGAACAGCTAACAGTCCATTTTAACTGAAAGATTGAGCTGGTGAAGAAGAGTCATGGGAGATAAAGCTGAAAAGAAAATGCTGAAGGGCTTTAAATTCTAGGCTAAAGAATTTGAATTTTGTTCCATAGAAGACAGAAGGCCACTGAAGGTCTGTGAACAGAAGAATGACAAGGTCAGTCCAATGACAACAATCATTATATACCTGCATGGATATTTCATTACAAAAGTTTTCATTCAAAAAATGCATCTCAAACATTCATGAAAACAAATGTCCTCGTCCTTCATTAGTATTATTTCATTTGTCTTCAAATCCTCCAAAAGATAGAAAAAATGAAAAAGGAAAAATTTGTTCAAGAAAATCAATAATTTTTTAATACAAGAAGAAAACAAAAAAAGTTTAGGAGAATATACTAACAGGAAATTTTTTGTTGTTAAACTTTTTTTAAAAGAATCTCTAGCAGTTCAGTTTTATATGCAATCCTTTGTTTTTTTCATATATTTAAATATTAAAGTTTGTTGATGATTGTTAGATTAAAAAAAATTTTTTTAAGTTTTATTCTAGAACTGATTCTTACTTACAGGAAGGAATTCATTGCTGGGCCAGAAATGGAGGAACCCTGGGAGAAAGCAGCCACTACTTTCAAAGTGTCAGAGACAAAATTTCCTAGACAAAAGTTGGGTACAGTTTAGTGAGTATTGTAGATTTTGTGAAAACAAACTGTAAAGGATTCAGAGGAAGCTAAGTAGGATTTCATGGACTAAAGGTCAACATAGAAAGACAACCCAGGAAGAATGGAAAATTCCCAGGAGTGAAATCTGAAGACACAAAGGGAAACAATGCCAATGAAAAAGAAAAACTGGAGTTTTCTGAAGAGACTAATGTGGATGCACAAGGAACTCACCATGCAACTTGGATTTTATAGAGGTTTTGTAAAGAAGATGGAGGGCAAGTAACAGATGATGAATATAAAGGAATAATACAGTTCTGTAAAAGTAGTGTCAGATGTGCTAAATCTCAGAATGAGCTGAGGCTGATGGCAAACAGGGATTTTAGAATTACAGTAGGAGAAAGGCAAGCATCAACCAAGAGACAGGACCACTGGTTGGGGTGACAGACAATAACTGACAATGGAGAGAAAGCAGAGGCAGAGTCAAGAGGACAGAGTAGCAGGAAAACTCACGGCCAAGATCCCCTTTTTCTTCTCCACAAAGATTCAGAAAACCTAATACACCAAATTCTGATCAGGAAATTAAAAAAAAAAAAGTCACACAGCGAGTCATTTTTCTAGTCCAGATTGGCTTGGGGAAACAGAGAAATCAGCAGACTTTAGGGACGAGGTCTGGTCAGAAGCATGCTGCTGCAAGAGAAGCATGAGACACAGAGAGCTAAGACTGGCCATCAGGGAAAGAAGCATCCCAGTGAACCCCTGAATCAGCACACAGTATCAGAAAGTGGGCCATCTGGCAGCTCTGTTGTTCCCTACCCAGCTCCAGGTGACAGACACAGGGCAGACTGAGGAGGGGACCTGTACCTAGGGGTGTAGGAGAGGTGCAACAGCAATCACAGACTCTAGCTGTATACTGAGCAGAGAACAAAGTCAGAAGCAAACAGCAGCCATGTGGCTCTGATT